AAAATTGTTTGAGATGCGGGTGATTTACATTTCAATACGTAGTATTTCTGTATATATAAGCGTGCTTCACTCTCAGCCAGCATTAACATCCCGTGAACTTGGTCAAACTGTCAAAGTTTGGGAAATGTGCGAATTTTAACTTTATTCTGCATGTGAATAGGAAAAGAAAAAGTAAACATAAAGTAAACCGGGGGTACTTGTTACGGAGTAAATTATTATGTCGACCTACTTGAATGTCGACATATGTGGTCAACCTAATACAAAGCAACGTTTCATATTATAATGTCGACATTTTTTATATAGGCTGAAGCAACGTTGATATTTCCGTCAAGGTTTTGGGAATTGTGCTGCTTTGCAAGTAATGCATGCGAATTTAAATTATGTCGATCTATTAAATGTAGACCTATTACAATGTCGACAATAGTTTGGTATCGGTAAGTATTATTTTAAACAAATACTAATATAATATTCCATATCCGTTAGTATTTTTTAAATTACAGAATGAGTTAAATACGTAATTAGGAATCGATGCGTCGATTTAAACTTTCTCATTTTACAATTTACAAAACGAGTTAAATACTGTACGTAATTTGGAAACGACGCCTATGTTTATCCGTCGACGGCGTCGTTTCATTTATGGGCTTGATACTATAAATATGGGAATCACCGGCTAGGGTTTCATACGTACTTTCATCCCTATCCATTTGTAAAGATCTGCAAAATGACGAGTTTTTGTGTTATCCTATCCGATGATCTCGGTTTCAGAGAAAGATTGGTTTGAGATTTCATTCATTTTCTTGTGTTTTTTTACTTTTAAATTATGTTATTTCTAATTAACTCAATCTTTTACTTATTCAGAGGATCCCAGATTACTTAAATAAGATTGCCGATGGTCCTGAATACGCTGATGGCGATGTCATCAGGATTTGGGGCCCTCTTTCCGCAGACCCTGTTTACGTGAAATTTGAAGAATGTGAGCAAGGAAACCTCTTTTTTGGGGAGGGCTGGGCCAGAATAGTTGAGGCCTATAATCTGGAGGAGATTCATATTCTAGCTTTTCATCATGTAACGGACTCTGATTATTCTATCAAAGTTTTTGGTCCAAAATGGGCGTGCGGTGGAATACTAATATTTCCACCGAAGAATAATATGTACTCCCTATTATTTTTATACGGAGTATTAATGAACTTTCTCCTTCTGCTCATCCATCCTTTATGATATTTTGATACTCCATAAGAGAAAATCTAATTGTTAACTTCATTCTTGGAAAAAGGTCCACAACTGAGCCTGAATATGACATAGAAATGGAAGAGGTAGCCTCTTGCATTAATGTGGTAGGTCGACTTTAAAAATGTGGCCTTAAATTCTCAAAGCTTAATGCGTTAGATTTCACAATAGACACATTTAATTATAATAGCACAAGATTTATATTTACGATTTTTAAAAAATTCTCTCTATATTTAAATACGGAGTACTTGTATAATATAGACAGAGTTATATGTCGACCTATTCTAATGTCGACAATATTTCTCCCTATTACTACTATTATTATTATATTAATATTGTTTTTAATATTATTATTAATGTTGATGGCTTAATGCTGATAATAGTCCTTGTACAAAATTTAAATGTTAGTTCCGAATGTGATTTTTTATATTCATCGACCTACTACAATGTCGACATATGTGGTCAAGGGTTTGGGAATTGTGCAGCCTTGAAATTAATGCATGCCAATTTTAATAATGTCGACCTATTAAATGTCGACCTATTACAATATCAACATTATTAATTTCGACATATAAATAAGCATTGTTTTCATTAATATTTTGTATCGGTAAGTATTATATTAAACAAATATTAATTTAATATTCCATTTCCGTTAGTATTTTTAAATTACAGATTCAGAGGATCCCATATTTCTTTAATAAGATTGCCGGTGGTCCTGAATACGCTGATGGCGATGTAATCCGGATTTGGGGCCCTCTTTCCGCAGACCCTCTTGAAGTGAAAATTGAAGTAGGTGATCAAGGAATCCTCTTTTTTGGGGATGGCTGGGCCAGAATAGTTGAGATAAGATCTAATTGTTAACTTCATTCTTGGAAAAAGGTCCACAACTGAGCCTGAATATGACATAGATATGGAAAGAAGTAGCCTCTTGCATTAATATGGTGGGTCGACTTTAATATTTTAATTTTATTGAGATAAGATCTAATTGTTAACTTCATTTTTGGAAAAAGGTCCACAACTGATCATGAATACTGAGTATGAATTAAAAATTTTAGAGGTTTACTCTTTCATGAATATGGTAGGTCGACTTCTCGTTTATGAATATAGTCGACTTCTTGTGTATTATGTTTGGTCGACTTGTCGTGAATTTTGCCTTAAAATATAAACGTTAAAGTGATTCTCTTCAATGTTTAATGGGTTAGTTTTGACACAAAGACACATTTAAATACAATAGCACAAGATTTATATTTACGAGTATTAAAACTTCTCTCTACATATTGCATATGCGTATGAAGTTCTCAATTGGACAATGTCATGTTCACTGAATCCGCTAAGCACCGGAGGATGCAAATTTTGAACACCAAGCTCAATGAACTTCAAAGCAAACACCCCACAGTCTGAATTTGTCTGTTGCGGCACCAAAGGACGTTCAACACTCCATTTCACGGTCATGTCTCTGTGGTCTCCAGGAATACCTTGAAGATAATTTGATGCGTATTGGCATATCACAGGAAAAATTTTGAGCATATTTGACAGTTCTTCTTCAAGTTTACTCATGCTTGTAATTCGTTGTAGGGAGTCAAACACCACCAGACACTTTCTATGGAAATCAGCTCTTATGGCGACCCAATGATTCTTTATGTTATGAACCCAATAAACACATGAAATATCCTTCCACGGTTTAGAGCATGAGTCCCATGTACCAAGAACTATTTGCGTGAGGCCGGTGTCCAGGATTGGAAATAGTTCAGTAGTGGCATTGACCTCACCTAACATTTGAAAGGTCTCTGGGAGGACGGCATATGTGCTATCTTTCTTGTTATACATTTTCATGAAGTAGATCATGATTTCTTCCATATGCTGCGTATGAAATAAAAATAAGTTGTTAAATTTATAATACT